CACATATGGTAAATCATAATAGTCAGTCCAAAATTATAAAATATTAATGGATAGCATTTCACTGTACTACTGGTAGTACATTGTACTACATTGTGACACTTTTTAAAAGTAAATTTCTAGTAATTTTAAAAATTAATTTTGTTTGAAATAATTTTATATAGTTTGTTAGGTATTTGGCTACACAAAAAACTTTTTTGGTAAATTTAAATAGCATTTTTGATTTTATGGAATTTTTTTTTTAACTTGAATACTTTAGTTTAATCTAATTTTATGTAGTACTTACTAGTGATCTTATAGAATATTTTTACTTATAAAAAATTTTTTTATTAATAAATTTATTTATTTAAAAAATTTATAAAAATTGTTAAGATAAGTTTATAAATTTAATTATAAAAATTTCTTTAGTATTAAACTAATATATAAAAAATAATTTAACTTTAAAGTTTTTACTAATAGGTATTAAATAAAGATTATTTTAAATCTTATATTAAAAAATGGATATAATTTTTCTTAAAATTTAAAGCAATATAACTTAAAATAAATTAGTTCTAATATTAAGAAATTTTATAATTAGAATTAGATTGCTATTATTTACAACCTTTATTAAAAAATTTAAAAAATTTATTTAATATAAAAATTTTTTTTAACTATAGCACTATTATAGCTAAAAATCAAAAAACCTATATAAATTACTAAAAATAGTAATGATTTTTAAATATTGCAATTCAAGTCTTATAATACAAGTTGTATTTTTTACTATATAACTTGTAATAATTTTTTAACTACAATAAGGTTTAAACCTTTTTTATATAATTCAAATTTATTTTTATAAAATTATTTAATAATATTAAGAGTAATATTTCTTTAAATAGTGTACTACAGGTAGTACACTAAAATTTGCAAAATAATAGTAGATAGAAAATATTTTTTATTTCAACAACTTTATTAATAATATTAAAAAATTTTGCCAAACTAAACTATAGTATTTATCAGATTTTTGTATATAAAAATTTTTAAGATATATAATTTTTTGGATTTTTAAATGCTTTTCTTCAACTGTACTACTGGTAGTGCAAAATGTGAAATCCTATCCATTAATTAATTAATCAGTATCTAATCATATGTAATTATTACTTAGATTTGTAGTTGAATGTACTTTACAATTATTTACAGAATTATATGGGATTATTTTATAAATTAAATTGTGTTGATAAAAAAATGTTATACATTATTTGGGCTAATTTTTTCTGTACACCAAAATTTAAAGGATATTAATGGAGATTTTATTTGACTTATATATTGTATATCAATATCAGCATAAATAAACATATAATTAATTCGTTTATGATTTGTGAAAAAAGTAATCAGTTAGACGCAAGCTCTATTATGTGATTTTTTAAATTTAGGTACTTTCTAGACGTACACAGCAATTGATTGTCTAGCATCAAGTAAAAAATTATAATTTATCATTAATCAGATTTTTTCAATTTTTATGACCTAAAAAAGTTCCAATAAATAAAAATTAGCCCAGATAATGATGGTCTATTTTGATTTTTTATAAGTAATAGCATGTGATAGTTAGCATCACGTGTTTGGTTAACCCTTCATTAGCCCAGATGATGAGAAATATATACAGATAAATATTAATAATATATGAAAACTAATATGCTACTATTGTATCATACCAAATCCTTTCTTAGCTATTTATAATATTTTTTTACAATACTTATTATTTTATACGAATGAACTGTTGATCGGAGAATCATTAATTTTGTGTAGTTAACTGTAATTCGTATATAGTTTGTACAGTTAACTATGGTTTTAACAATAACTACAATAACTATAGTTCGAACATTCAACTACCCATATAGTTGGAATAGTTTGAGTATTGATCTGACTAAATATGCAAAAATGCGGATTTCAAATAGTTGTATTGATTATTGATCAACGGATCACACTTTTATAGCTCTGTGTTGTACCAAATGAAAGATGGAAATAGTTAAATTTGTTGTTACGTATATGAGTATGTCTGCAATTTTTTTCATGAAAACTTTTAGTATAAGTAAATAGTAATTCGATGACGTCAAGAATGGGATCCATATTAGTGTTACTTTAGCGATCTCTTTGACATTTCGGCGGATCGGCGGAATTGGCCCTTTTAATCAGACCCTAAATTATTCATTTTAAGGGTAATAATAATTATATCAAATTAATAAATTATACGGATATCAGAGAATGACATATTTTATTAATGATTAATAAAATGAAATTCAGATGATCTAAAAAAGGTCCAATTCCGCCAATCCGCCGAAATGAGTACTCAATTAATTGCAAGGTTTAAAGCCAGTGATAAAAAAAAAAGACTAAATTGTTGTAAATTGAAATGACAAATTCACATTTTTTTTATTAATAAAATTGAAATTACGCTTAAAATATTTTCCGCTAAGTAAAATTTGTTCTCAACACTTTTTGATCATAGGCAGACATTCGTATAATTGGCAGTTTAAATCAAATTAATTTTACATTATTTATACAGTTTAAAGTACTTTTTTAGAAAATGTATTTAGAAAGTTTTATTAGGATTGTAGGACTCCACTATTAAAAATAATCAAAATTCTTTTTTGTTTGAGAAGTTAACATAATAACGACATCTTAAAATTAAGTTATCACCGTGCTAACTTCTCTAAAACAAAAAAGAATTTCGATTATTTTTAATAGTGGAGTCCTACAACTCTAATAAACTTTCCAAATGCTTTTTTTTAAAAAGTACTTTAAACTGTATAAATAATGTAAAATTAATTTGATTTAAACTGCCAATATACGAATGTCTGCCTATGAACTTTTTGAGCCATTGTTTTATGTGTCCAAATAACATAACACTGACACTGAAGACTTTTAACTCTGTTACAATCTAAAACAAATTTTTTAATTTGGAAATATTATACGATTAGTAACAATAGTATCCAAAAAAAAAAAAGCTATCCACTGAACAAGTTTGGGGATTATAATTAAAAGACAATGTTCTGAGCGAAGCGAAGGACTTATATTTTCAGGTTACAAGTGTTACAAATGCTTAGGAAAGCATCCCAAGATATGCATTTCTCAAGAGGAACTCGAAGTGTTATAGACCCAAACATTGAATCATTCCCATTATTTCGAGCCAAACTTCGATCTCTAAGAAATGCAATATTCAATCGAAATTGATATAGGTCATGCAATTCGAATCTTTTCAATAAATTTTATAATAATTTAGGTATGATGACACCTGAATATGCACAAAAGCCTGATTTTTACTTATTTTTTGCCGATAATATAACTTTAATCAAAAAAAGTTAAATTTATGATTTAGTTGGATTGATTGTAATTGATTATAGTTCTTTTTGTCCATGAGTCCCGTGATTACAATATGATAGTTACTTCACTTGTATTTACAGGACTCAGGATTCATAGAATAAAAAATTATTGTTAATCTAGCCAAATCGATGAAATAAAAAAAAAAGAAGAAAAAAAAAAGCAAATTAGAGAAAAAAAAGTTGATTATAATAACGATAATTTAATTTTATGAGTGACACTTTAACAGTCACTTTTAAAAATTTGTGGAATTCACAATACTTTCTTACTTATTAATAAAATTTCCACACCCTTCTATTCCTGCACGGATATATGGAAATTGGTTTCCTACGTCATTTAAAAAGCAGCTGTAAACCTTTGTTTCATGCGTTTATTTAGATTTCCTTTTCATGATGATATATGCAGAATTACGTAGTAAAAAATTTTTTTAATTATTGAATTTTTGATGGTGATTGGTTGCAACTAATTTAAGATTGGTTATGGATGTTAAATTACGTAGTCCGATCCAATAAGATCAAAGATCGACTGTCCAAATGGCTCCAATCTAATTTTGGATTAGATCTGTATTTCTCACAGAAAATTCTCATCATTATGCAAACTTTTGAAATGCATAATAGGCTGGGTGTCAACAATCAGTTTTTCACACATATGGCAAGATATATAGTAAAAATCATTATTGATTTTTTTTAAGCGATTTTTGAAAATTTCAAATTATTATTAAATTATTATTGCGGTTTGCATAATTTTGTGACCTCTATGATTAATTTTTTGTATGATCAAATGATTGTGATTGCGATCGCGATTGCTAAAGCGGCCAATTTATCATAAATATGAGCTTGACATAAACTCAGATTAATGATAAATTGGCTGGCTTTAGCGATCGCGATCACAATCACAATCATTTAATCATAAAAAATTTAATCATAGGGGTCACAAAATTATGCTAACCGCAATAATAAAAAATGCTTTAGCGTAAACTTTAATAACTTTTGTTATATTGATTGTCTTGCTCTAAGTTTGTGATTAACTGATTGTTGAAACCCAACAATAGGCGTTTATCACAATAATGTCAATTATTTAATTTATTCCGACATCGCAGAAAAATTAAATTCAGTACTTAATAGATAATAGGATTGCGTATTCAAATTGCTTTATTAGGACGATTAAAATGGTATTAAATAATACAATCGCATCCCTCTAAGTGCACGCCCTCGAGACCATAGTAAAAAAAGGCAAAATGTGCACTTAGGGGGTTGTGCATTTAGAGGGGTTAAAATTTATAATTGTTATATTAGATATTTAGGACCAAGAGATGTGTGAACTTTGAAGAGTTTTTCATATACCGTGCACTTAAGGAAGTGCGACTGTATGTATAATTACTGATATTTTGATTAAAAGTAAATAAATATTCGAAGAGCATGATTTGCAGGTTTTCTTCATATCAGATGAGCTCTTTTTTAATACGTAGTAGACCCCAAATTTTATATTAATGTTTTAAAATAATTTGTATATAAGAGTGAAAAAAAATAATATATACTGTAAATAAATTGTCTTAGTAGATTTATTTCTGAAAACAATAGTGTTTAAGCTAAAATAAAATATAGCATGGATTTATAAGAAATAGCTGCCTAATTATTATTGTTAAAAACTTACTGCAATAATAGAAATATGCTATAGTTACAAAAGGGATAACTTTTGAAACCAGTTTTAAAAATTGTATGTTTTGTAAAAATAATGCTAGAAAGACTCGTGAAGTTTATTTTATTTATAATAATAAATATATATATGCCAATAAGATATAAACAGAATCTTAATTTAATTATACATCTGATTTTAAAATAACATACAATTTAAATATCAAATTCAAATGTTTTTTCATATTTTTCGCCAGTAGCAACATTAACAGCAGTAGCTTGAATTTCAACCATTCCAAAATTCATAACGTATAAAATTGGACGTATTTCATCACCAGTTATTGGAACATGAAAACTAAAAGTATCAAGCAAGTTAACATTAGGTTCATCACAGAATTTTGCGTCATCTTTAGATGTTGTATAAAGGTCCAAACTAGCATATTCCTGAATAATACTGGTAGGCGCAAAAACACGAAGAACCTTTTGATCTACAGCTACTCTCTCACCCTTTTTACCTAATTGTTCAAAGACAATAATGAGTTTGCCACTCTTTCGTTCTGGTGGATCATCGGGGGCCCAATCTCTTGCAATTCGAGTTCCTAAAAACATAATGGTCACAGTAAGTTAATTTGAATAACATAAATAACACTGATAATACAACATATAACATACCGTAAGTCCATTTTAGAACTCGATCATCAATTACTTCTTGAGTTAGACCAAACTGAACAGCTCCTTTAACAATAGCAACCATTGGATTGGGAGGAACTGGTATGTTTCTAACCATTGAATTGAATTCCTGTCGAATACGAGTTTGTAGATATCTAGATTCACTGAATCCGCCAACCAGAAACATTACAGAACAATCTTCTTCACTTTTATTTAGTTGGCTATGAATTAATCTGATTATTTTACCAACTACAGGATCGAACATCGCTTTAACATCTTCAAATTCAATATTCACTACCCATTCCGCTTCTTCCATATCTTCCTTAGCTTGACCTCTCACATATTGTTTCAAAACTGGGCAAGTATCCTAATATGAATAAAAAAAAATTTTAGATGTTATAATAAACATACTATGATGTCAGAGTATATTTTGTTTAAAATTGCTGTACCTCCAAATCAAGTTCAAAAGTATCAAATTCTCTCTCGTCTCCTGTGAATGGAAGTTTAACTCTTCTGCAAAACTCTTGAACCATATATTGAAGTTGACCATAATAATTTTGTCTAACTAAATCTATTGCAGAAGAACCAATTTTTCTACCAAGAAATTTGAGAAATTCTTGATCTACATAACTCCCACCGCAAAAATCACCTTCACGTTCAGTGATTTCGCTTAATTTATTACCGGCCAAAAGTTTTCGAGTCGTTAAGTCAACGGTACCTCCACCACAATCAACCACCATAAATGAATCTAATATTGTGTACATATGAAAAATATTAATTTTATTTATAATACGAAAAATTTAAAATGTATGTATTAATAAACTAACCTCCGACACCCAAATCATGTTCTTTTAAAGCTTTCATACAATGTATAGCAGCTGCCTCAGCTAGTAATAAAGCATTTATGTACAAATACATATATAAATACACAATGAATTATATTAAAGAATTAATTCAAAAGTAAAATTACATACGTTCAGTCGTAAACAATAAATTAGGACTATCTTTTTGTTCGACCAAGCCAGCCTTGAAATTATTAATAGAAAAAAGTTATAATTTAATAAATGTGATCAATTTATTGAAAATAATCAGAATGATATCTGTTATGTACCTTGTGAGCACAAGTTCGCATTGTAGATATTGCGGTAGCATCAAACTCTGCGGGAATCTAATAAATTAAATAAAAAAATTCATTATGTGACAAGGAATAAGAAAAAAAAACCAATAACAGTTAAATAATAAATGTATTAAATTTATATACACACCGTCATAATAATGCAAACTTGGTTATAAAAATCGACCATTGGCCAACGTGTTTCCAAGGTTTTTTTAAGAGATTTTGTTATCTCACGTAAATAATCAGTAATTGCTGTTTTATAATCAAGGCCGGATGGAAGTGTAGGTTTGTTTTCCGCATTTCCTAGATGAAGTTTAAATAATTCGGCAGGTTTTTTACTAACGTTTCTTCCTCTCCTTGATGGTCTTTCCATTAAAGCTGGAGCGCCCCAACTTTCAGGCTTCATATTGTCATCGTATTTTAAAACCGTTGGAGTTTTGAATCGTCCTTCATATTCCTGCCAAGAGTTGTTGGCATGAATTTCATTAGGGGTCGCTTTATGTGCGTACGCATAACCCTATTTCAAAATATTAATTTATTAAATAAAAGTTTCAAAGTGAAATGCAGCGAATTTAACGAAAATACTCACAGAATAAGTCGTACCGAAATCTGCAGAATGATAAATGAGACAAGTATATATTAATCAAATATAACGATAACTATTATAATTTCAAACTTTTAATTTTCATCTTTTTAAAACTTGCCAATTGCCGCAACCACACGAATATCAGAATCAGTCATTTTTAAGAAAAGTATCTCAAAAGTTGTTAAAAAATTTTCAATGATCAAAAATGATTAAATAAATACATTAAATAAGCAATCATTTAACGAGGTACTGTACGTATCAAAAATTATAGATCATTTGTATTTCCAAATCTCTTTGTTTCTTTTTTTGTAAATGCTTTTGTTTCTTAATATAATCACAATATGTACATAATTTCTTAAAAAGGCAATCGGACAAAAAAGTGAAATTTGTCCGTGATTAGATTTGTTTCACGGTATAATCAAATACGTACTCAATTAAATACATACGTAC